GTCAGCCAGGCTTCCTGTGGTTCTGGATGATGTCCGTATTGTTTTTCTGAGGTATTAATCAATTGTTGTGAGCGGCATCAACTTCCCGGTGTTTATCTCTGCCGCCATCTTAGTTTCTCCCCCGTTTTGTCTTTTAGTTGTATTTTTGAAGTGGTTGTGCGAGGCAGCAATTTCCGGTGTTTACTTATGCCGCCATCTTCTATTGGTTGTTTCTGGTATGTACCCTGACAGGGAATGGAACCTGCAACTTTGGCATATCAGCACTACTTTAACCAACTGAGCTACCTGGCCAGGGCCTTAATTTTATATTTTTAACTGTTATAGATAATTACATGTTCCTAAGTTTATTGGGGAATTTTATTTGTGTGTGAATTGTTTAGAAGAAATGGTTTTGGAAAGATTTTTGGAGGGTCCTGATCATAATAATCTTAAAAATTTTTCTTGATCCCCACAAAAAACTGGTCTCATTATGACATATGGCTGATTATTTTCATAGATGCAGCTAGAATATTAACCTCATAGAGCTCCTTGAGTTTGTTTTTGCATATCTGTAAGCTATATACAATTGTATAACTACTGAGCCTACAAAATTAACTGTGACTGTAACTTTTCATAAGGAACCTCAGCTAGGACACTTAAAAGCCACTGTTAATTTGTTTTTCTCAGGGTAGAAAAGCAAGCCCAGGACACTGTCAGATTTTACCTACAGTAGTATCCTTAAATATCCCTCAAATTTTTAAGGTTCCTGCCCTGCTGTGAAGCGATCTTCCTTATCACCTGTAAGGCTGAGCCCTTATAAGCCAGGGCCCAGGCCAGTTTTCCTGGTAGGGCTTTGTAGGCATTGAATCTATAAGTAAAGTCAACCTTGTTATACCTGTTTAAATGAGCATTGTTCTCAAAAGTTGACACTGTAGGTAAAAGATTTGTTGCTTAATAGGTTTGTCCAATTATGTCCTGATGAAAAGGAGGACAGATTATTATTGAATCTATGCAAATATTTCTATTGCTATGAAAAGGAGATTCTTGCCATGGCCTGTGTAGCTCAGTTGGTGGGTATGGTCCAGTGCACCAAAAGGTTGCTGGCGCTATCATCTGGGTTTCGGGCTTGATCCTCAGTAGGGGGAGTTCACGAGGCGGCTGATCAATGTTCTGAGCTCACATTGATGTTTCTTTCCCCCTCTCCATCTGCCACCCCACACCCCTCTCTAAAAAAATCAATACAATATTTTAAAAAGAAAAGGAGATTCTCTAAAGAGTTTCTGAAATCTGAGAGTTAGTGGGAATATTTTAAATGTCTCATTTTGGTTTATAGAAGCAGAGTTTACTAATAGTTTGTTTATAGAAAGCTTTAGAAGAAAGAAAATAAAACATTAAAATAGTATCAACAGTATTCCAATCAAATACACTTTCTATCATTAGTTCATTCAGTACTATGTAGTTTTTGTTACTTCTTTTGTGTTAGCTGAGATTGGGTTAGCTGTCTACTGTTATGAAGGTGTTTGCTGGTAGATTAAAAAGGGTCCTGGAAATCTTGACTCAAAGATGGTACAAGAGTTGTTTGAGAGATATCACCCGAAGAGCCTGTACTCATATTCTGACCTTTGGGGTTAATAGTTTGAAGTACCTGGTACATTCCTTTTCTCAGACTCTGAACCTCTCTTTTGTTGAAGACACAAACTCTGTCCTACAGCTTGTGGCAGAGCTTTTAAAGAAATATCAGAGTAAAGTAACAGTTATCAGTGGAAAACAGAGACTCAATGGCTGTGGTGAATTTTTTACTGAAATTAATAATAGAATGGGGAAATGTAGAATTCTCTACTGGAGTACAGTACAGTAGGTCCTCAGGTTACGTTGGAAATCCGTTCCTACGGCGCGATGTAATGCGATTTTCGCTGGTAGTCGGAACCCACCTACATAAGCACCTACATCACTCACATGGAGCGCATACACGTCTGCAATAATGAAGTGAAACAGTAAAAAAAATTTAAAAGAAAGATAACAATTCCTGACCTTTACTTGTGGTAAATAAATAATAAAAAAAATAAAGCACATATGTAAATACATCAAAATGACAGAACTTTTTTTTTTTTTTAATAAAATGGGAGATGGCTATGTAACCACAAGACAACGTATGTCGAGTCCGATGTAACCCAAGGACTGTCTGTATCTAACTATTTCATGAAAATAATTATTTTCCCTGAGGGTAAAAATATAAAGGACAGTGAGAACATTGACACATCTCTAGGGACTTTCTCACAAAACAACATTTTTGAAATATTTATTAATAACACTTTACAAACTTAATCTAAGAAAGATACCTGTCTTTCTTGGTTTGACAGCTTTTTCATTGCGCTCTTACAAATAGTAACTTATCAAATAAACCTAATTCTTTCTAGCAGCAATAATCTGGTAGAAGTAACAAATCTTTTTTGTTTTCTTGGAGCACACTGAGAAATTACAAAGATAATTTTAGTGTAAAATATTGTAAAAAGTTTTATATTTTTATATTTAGAATATTAGGATAATGCAAAATTGAGAGTTGTTAGAAGATATGTGGCTTGATTAAAGTAGAATCATGGGAAAGGATGATAAATGGTTATGGAAAGAGACTAGACTTGGGGTGGTGAACACACAATACAATATAGAATTATACACTTGAAACTTATGTATAATTTTATTAATCAACTAGAGGCCTGGTGCATGAATTTGTGCACAGGTGGGGTCCGGCCGGCCCACCCTGATCGGGGTGGGCGGTCCGATTGGGGCCAGGCCAGCCAGGGGGAGGGACCATGGGCATTTGGCCAGTGGGGAGGGGGCTGCGGGAGTTTGGCTGGCCAGCCCCGCCCCTGATCCAGGTGTTGGGGAGGGGGCTATCGGGGCCACAGTGTGCATCAAAGCAACCGGTCATTCTGATCGTGATGTCACCTCAGTAAATTAAATAAAAACTTTAAAAGTTCAAAAAAAAATAATGTATAATCATGGGTGCCTGAGATACAATACTTGCTTACCTATTTAGTCAAAGTAACAATAAAAATAAACATAGAAGATAATATTTTTCCTGTGCTAAAGAACAAAAATTTGGTCAGTGTGAGATCTAATTGGCTTTATTGAGTAATTCATGAATCAGGCAGCATCCCATCTAGCAATTAGAGAGGAACTCTAAGAAGCTATACAAATTGAAGGCTTTTATAGGCAGAAACTGGACAGGATATGAAAGTGATCAGCACAAGTAAAAAGATGGTTCAGGGAAGGTTATCTTCCTTAGGAAAAGGTGGGGTCTTATCTTGCAGAAACTTCAGCTTCCTCTGGGGAGGCTGGAGAGGGCCCATGTGACAGATTACCTCATTGGTTCTCACCAGAAAATTCCAGACTGATTAAGATGACATTCTTGGGGAATTCCTGGGCAATTAGGTCAGTTATGAAATGTAGGCTCAGTATTCTGGGTGTTTAGCACAAGTGACTCCATTTTGGGCTTGCGGTTTTCTCATGAACATCTGGTTCATAAGTGAGAGAAAGCTTTAGTCCTTTATCCTGATATTCTTCTTTTTGTAGTTAATAGTTTGAAGTACCTGGTACATTTCTTTTCTCGGGCTCTGACATGTTTCTACTATTTAGGCATATTTACATAGGAGAAGAATGGCCTTTAATATTGAAGATGAAGGTATTAATCAGTATCTCAAGGAAGCAAGCCTATCAACACTGAGTGAAATTGCTAAGATTTAAAATGTTTCATAGCTTATTTTTAGAATTAGCTCTTATAAATCAAGGCATATAAAATTTACTTTCCAATTTAATCCTTCAGTATCAGTCTCTCAGATTCCAGAACAAATGGATACTTTACTTGAGGTCATTGATTACCTCTGGGGGATCTATGAGGTCAAAAGTATTTTCATAACAATAGTAAGATGTTATTTATGTTAATTGCGATGCATTCATTATTGCTGTCTTCAAATGTATTAATAAATGTTTAAAATGATATCTAAATTTGAATTTTCAATGTAATAAATATCAATAGCTATAATCCCTAGTATCCCAGCTTTAGGACAAAACCCTTTTAAAAAAACGCATATACCCAGTTGTATTTCTCTGTCACTGTTGCTCCTAATGTAGTCTCAACTACTCATATTGATTATAACTTTTAGCTAAACTAATTTCAGAGAGAAATGCTTGGGGTTAATAATCGAGAATTATCTGCCATACACCAGCATTTTAGCAGACTAGCAGAGTTCCTGAGCATTCATAACACAACTGTTTATAGCCACACATATGCCTTTTGTACCTTAAAGTGGCAAAAATAAACACTTTGATTAACATGACCCAGAACTTTAGCTCCTTAATACTAAAATTAGAAGCAAAGGTATATAAGCATAAAACTGCTTCATAATCAATGTTTCAGTATTTTCTCTTACTTAGAAATTATGTATCTAATCATTATTTAATTAATTCATTTTAATATTAGTCCAAGGTATAAATTACCTAAAGATCTTGAACATTACCTTCAAGCTGTCTGCTACAAAACATAGTTAATGTTGAAATAAAAACTTGCCAGAGTAATGATTCAATTTAGTTGAACATAGGAATTTATATTTTTTAAAATTGTAAACATTGTATAGGATTAATGTTAGCTTGTTTGGTTAAAGACATAACTTAAAAAAACAAATGTAGTAAAGTAGTCTAATTTACCAAAGATTTGCCTAAATTATGGAAACTTGAGTTCATAAAAGGTCCTGACTTTGTTTTTATAAATTTTACAAGTTTAACTTATTTTCTGGGAATTTTAGATAAAAGGCAATGAGAGGCCTGAAAAATGGATGATAATGATGGTTGTGTAACACTGTGAATGTACTTAATACCACTGAAATGAAAGGGGCCCAGCTGGTTTGGTTCAGTGTTTGAGCATTGATCCTTGAATCAATAGGTCACTGGTTCTAATCTAAGTTTCTATCTCTCTCTAAAAATCTGTAATAACATTTATAAAAAATAAACATAAAAGTGAAAGGCACAGGTCAGTTTGGTAAGATGTAATAGAGAAGACATTAGTAATTTTTTTTTAAAGATTTTAATTGATTTTTTAGAGAGAGTGAGGAAGGAAGAGGGAGAGAGAGAGAGAAACATTGATGTGCAAACCAAATATTGACCTGCTGCCTCTTGCATGCCCCCTACGAGGGGTATCAAACCTGCAAGCCTGCCCTGTCCAGGAATCAAACCGGCATCCTTTCAGTGCACAGGACAGTGCCAAACCAACTGAGCCACACCAACCAGAGCAGTAATGTATTTTTGCCTTTGCGAAATTCCTCCACAATTTTTCCTCTTATCTTCTTATAAAGAAGGGTAAGATTTGGATGCATGGAATTAAATACTGATAGAGGTATACATTCTGGATTGTCTGTAGATAGAGATAGGATGCAAAAATCTGGCCAAAGTTTTTCATGTTTACTTGAGGAAAATTGTGATAGAGGGAATTGAAATGTAGATTTTGAACATATATTTGTTTTTCGATGTTTATCAGTCAGCACATCATATGTTTTATAAATGAACACTTGCCATAACCGGTTTGGCTCAGTGGGTGGAGCGTCGGCCTGCGGACTGAAGGGTCCCGGGTTCGATTCCGGCCAAGGG